ATCTAAGTAGCAAGAAAAGTATGCAATAGGATAGTAGTAATACATGATCACGGTGATTTCAAAAGAAAAAAGAAGACTTATTATTACAACGCAACAGAAGGAACTAAGTTTACAGTGCAGTTACTTTATTGCACGTATGCATGACACTACAGAGTTGACTCAACCTAACGTTACTCAAGATTGAAAAAAAATGAATGATATTGAAACTACTTTACCATGTTCAAACCAAAATCTTCGGTTTCGATTGGATATAAAAATCTTTTGAAAAATTTTGTCTCATTTAATAATAGAGATGGAAATCGAAAAATGTTGTTTCTAGAAAAAGCGAGATATATTTCACATCATGAATGGATATAAGATAAAAAAAAAAGTAATGGTCAAATTTGATGCGATATAAAAACAACAAAATATTGATGGATATGATTGGTAGTTAGAAATATTTGAGAGGTTAGATAGTAATATTTTTGTTGGAAATATGTAATAATGATTACTTATTATTTTTTAATTAGTGGTATTGTAGAGAGCCCGTATCACCTTTCTCAGCAATCTATCAAATACTTTATAAGTCAGGGGAAGAATTAAAATAATCAATATCGCCAATAGCACTGAGCAGCCTAAGACTATTCCTGCAGAAGTTCAACTACGAGAATAATTAAGTATAACAAGATATAGCCATGTCAGATACACCTATAGACACAAGAAATACACTGGTTTTCTTATTAATATTTATAATGGGATAATTGACAAAAAAATGGAGACCGAAAATTGGATAAACTAGAAAAGCAACAGTAAAGTTGTATTTCCTTTCAAATTACTATTTGAGCTATTCTAGAGAGAAAGCCCCTTTCCAACACCCCATCACAGCCTCTTAGATGCCCTTTAAATCTCAAAAGAGACTTAAATGCTCCTATGAAGGAGTAGACTGAAGAAATCTTTGGTTATGCCACATATCTTACAAGGGAAAGACATGTAGATCTCCTATTCTGCTCAACTTAACATAAGTGTAAATTAAACCTGAGATAGGTATAATTTCATTCTTGAAGCGGTGAAACAAATAACATGAGGCTAGCATTTGTTTAGTAATTACTACAGTGATCTCTTAGGTAGCACACCTGAAAAAAGAGCCCTAAGCCAAACAACAACTCAGCAGATGTTCACCTTTCATACATAAGATTGGGAGATAAAATACACAACTGCTCCTCTCAGTTGAATTATAGAAGAGGCATGGAGACTGAGTACTGGGAACCTCTAACGTTATGTGGTGGTCACTCAAAGGAGCGAAAGCATACTATACCCGACAAGAAACCCCATCCACATTGTTAATGAATCGAAGTCTTAACTTTGTGACTACGAAGTGTAGACTTCGATTAATGCATAGTCAAAATATCACCTCAAAGGAGCCAAAGCATACTATACCCAACAAGAAACCCCATCCGCATTGTTTAATGAATCGAAATCTTCACTTCATAACTTCATTGAGTGACTACAAAGTGTAGACTTCGATTCAATGCGTAGTCAACATATCACCTCAAAGGAGCCAAAGCATACTATACCCGACAAAAAACCCCATCGACTCACTAGTACATTTTGCAGTGCTTTAGCCAGAAAATTTGATGCTAGGCAAAATATCACCTCAGAAACTTCTAAAGACTACGTTAACAGCACATAACAGACAATGTCCAGATGCAATTGCAATGTAATATAGATTCGGTTTCTTATCAATCTAGAATAATGAAAAACACATGGGATCACTTACCTGCATCACTTCATCTAGCAAAAGAACATGCGTGAATGGATCTCTCTTCTTGGACAACACCCTCTGCAAATGCCAAACTGCTAGCAAGACCAAATGCAATTGATCCATACAACCACTCATCCTTTGCCAAAGAGCTTCCCTTGCCTTGGCCCCACTCCCAATCTGCGGGGTCCCGTGTCGCTGCACCCCGCCAGGCCCTCCACTTCCATACCCACCACCCGAGACTGCCTTCATATCCAGAGCAGTATTCACACTCTTCACGCCTATTTGCTTGTACTTGCTCACTAGCCCATCCACAGTGCCCCTCAATTCCCCCATGTTATAAAACACCTGCAAACCCAATCCAACTTCCGGTTGGTTCAAACTCTCGAGACCCTTTTCCAACACCTTCATCCCCTCTTCTCGGATCTTGGATCCGATCTCTGTGACCCATTTCAATTCCGTGTCCACCACATCAATACCAGACAAATGGTAGTCGTTGTAAAGGGTCAAAATCTCGAAATGGAGCTGCGCTGCCTTGGATAGATCCCATTTCGATGAATCAGACTGTGATTCTACGAGGTTCCTCAGCTTCTGGATGAGACGGAGAGCGCGGATGGAGTACTGAAGCAATAATGAGGTGGAGTGTAGATTGTTAAGCTGACGGGTCTGAACTTCGATGGCCCGATGGGGCTCCGAGAGCTCGGCGCGGGCCCGGCGGACGGATGACTGGAGCGAGGAGAGAGAGGATCGGAGGGAGGAGAGGGAGGACTCGGCGAGCTTGACGGAAGAGAGCTGATCGAGGAGCTCGTGGTGGCGCGAGAGGACCTCATGGCGCAGCTGGGTGTCGAGGAGGCGGAGGCCCTCCTGGAGTTTCTCGATCCTCGAGGCGGCGGAGCCGGAGGAGAGGGCGGCGGAGGAAAATTGAGTGGGATTGAAGTCCGGGGAGAGGAAAGCGGAGAAGATCGCGTCGGAGGCGAAAGTGTCCAAGTGGGATGATGGTGAGGAAGAGAAGGGGGTTGGAGTGGCGGAGACGGCGGTGGGAGTGGGCGTGGCGGCGGTCTTGAAGGTGGCGAGGCGCTGGAGTGGGGATCTTGGATTGGCCGGCGAAGCCATGGGGGTTCTGATCCGTTGAGTCTTACTCCGTTTCTTTGTAACTACGCCCACTGCTGCCTCATTTCTGATGGGAAAGCTGCGTAACTCTCTCCTTATAATAAGTGTTAAAAATAAAAAATGATATTTTGAGAAAAAATAAAGAGTGAATATAAAAAGACGTAGTGTATTTATTAGTTAAAGATATTTTGAGAAAAAATAAAGAGTGAATATAAAAAGACCTAGTGTATTTATTAGTTAAATGAGGATAATAATAGAAAAATATGTACAAAAGATCCAAAACTGACATTTATTTAGATAATAGTTAATAAAGCCAAAATGACATTTAAAAAGAATAAGAAGTAATATTTGTTTTGGAAATAATTAAATTTTGATCCCCAAAGTTTGTCTATGATTTGTACTTTAGTATAGCACCCGACATTTCAATTAAAATAAAGGTGATTGGATATAAAATTGAGTGAGCCAAAACTCTCTCCCCTGCAATTTCACTTT